CGCAGTTAGTGAATTTGCATATTGACACATTTCGTTAATCATATTAGTTACACATACGACAAATCCAGCAGTGCGTTGCGCGATAAATGTATCACACAACCGTTTTTTTTTGATAAATCATCAAGACTTGAATTTATGCGAATATGTTATCTTGTCAATCTTTCCTAATTTGCGTTTTCCTTGGAACAAAAACATTAAATTTTTTGCGTTTAATGTAACGCAAATACATCATTTATATTCACAGTTTAAAATTGATCCCGCATTATATTTAATTTTGAAATAAATTGCATTAATCTTATTGCGCAATAAAGTTACCAAAAACTTTTTACAAATGACACATGTGCCTTTGTATTTTTACTTTAAAATTGATTAAATTTTGACAAAAATTAATTTTCTTATCCTACTTTTATTAAATATTTTTATACATTAGTTCTATATTACTACACACATCGAATTTTGCAGTGGCATGCATATGTATATTTAACGTATCAAATTATTTCGTATTTTTGTCAGTAAAATTATTGAATTTTATAATGGTTTTTTTCGCGCTTTGCAATCATTACAAACTAAATTTTCTTATAAATCTCAAGAAACATAAATAATAATTATATTATTTAGACAATTTGAAACAATTTGAAACAATTATTTAGTATAGAATTACGTTGTGTGTATATGTGATAACAATTAACAATTTTCTTTTAGATCTGTTGCAATGATCGAAGATACCTTCACATTAACGCTGTTACAATTATTTCTTTATTTCGGTATTATGTTTTGTATTTACGGATTTCTTGTCGTTACAGTAAGTTAAGCCACATTTTTTGAAAATTATTCATTTAATTAATATTTTGGGGAATGTCGTACACGGTCTGTAATCATTTTTTTATATAGTATACTTAAATAGTATACTCATATAGTATACTTAATTATATAAAAACTTTTGTGTATTAATAATTAAACTATAATTTATTTTATTTAATATATTACAAATGTGCATTAATTAGGTAATCTTTGAAGAAAAAAATGTTTCTCTCAAAAGAGTAATATTTCTTATCTTAGTAATTTGTACTGCATTTACTCATATGTGTCTCTATTGTGCTGCTGGCGAATTACTAGTAATGAAGGTAAGTCTTTTGTTTAATAAATACATATATGATTACATGAGTTAATCATTTATTAATTTTTTTATCTCATTGTGCACTCAACTGATGAAGAGACCTATTTTTCTTTAAGTCTCAAAATGTCATCAAAAATTACAATTAATGCAAATACACATTTGTACTTGAGTGCAAAAATTTCTAAAAATACATACTTATTACATTATTTTAATGTATTTTTATATTGAGTTTGACATTTATTTTATTAAGTATGAAAAGGTTTACAACGCGGTGTGCGAATGCAAATGGTATACTTTGGAAACAGCGGAAGCAAAAAGTCTAATTTTTTTGCTGCTTCGCACAAACAAACCACTCTACATTACAGCTGGGAAAATCTTACCTATGACAATGTCTACATTTTGCAGTGTAAGATAGCAATTTATGTTATAGTTTTAAATGTAAATTTTATTTGAGTACAAAAATTTCAATGTACAAAAAAATTTAAAAAAATTTTTTTTATTTGTTTCCTTTTTCTCTCACCTTCATTATTATCTTAATATTAATATTTTAATATATTATTATTTTATATTATGTGTGTGTATAATTTTATTTACTAATTCGTATATTTGTGTATATTTTTAGATATTAAAAACGTCGGGTGGGTATATATCAGTTTTACTCGCAAATCGGAATTAAGATAAATTTAATGTCAAAAGTAGCAAAGATTAGAGCAAAAAATATTTTTCAATAGATTGCGCAATATAACTTTATTATTAGCTACTTTAGTATTAGCTGCTTTCTCATTAGCATATTAAAAAAATGAAATATTTGTAAGAATATTTGACAAATAAAAAATAATGTAACATTAACTTTTGTTGAAAACGACTGCAGTGTTATTCTTCATGTATTACACACACACTTGAATTTCAATTAACTTTTTATAAATTCAGAATTTTTAAGAAATTTTACTATTTTTTATAAATGTAACAAACTGCTTCTTAGAAGCTTCTAAAAAGTGCATTGCCTAAATAATTTACGTTTTTAAACAATTAAAATTTTTATTAATTTTTTGAAAGTAGATTATCTATCATGAATCATGCAGAAATTGGCAAAAATCTGTCACATTATCACCTGTATTTTGAATGACGTACATATGTTTTTTTTTGTGAAATTACAATTACAAATTCAAATGTAAAATAATTTGCTTATATAAAGATAGCACTATATTTATTTTTTAATTGTCCTACATTCCGAATTTCTATAAGTGAAAATACGTGATTATATTTTTTTCATGCTTTCATCATAAGTTTTAAATTAAATGTTAATGATTTATCTCGAGTATTGAAGTTCATTATTGCCTGGCAAAAAGTTACATTACTTCTATCCAAAAGAGATTTTATTTATTTGCACAAAATAAAAATGTATAAATATAACACTTTTTTAAAGCACTTTTTAGAACACTAAAAAAATTTTAGTGCTAGAAAAGCATTTTTTACTTTACACGCAACGTGTTGCACGGTCTATAGACGATCTATAGTTAAGACCACACGCATCGCGTTTAAAATCGATTACCAGTGAAAGAAGAAAAAATGAACGTACTTAGTCTCTGGAGTGAGCAGGTACTTATCTACCAGCTTATTATATCAGTTTTTATTCATGAATACCTCGGAAGTTGTTACAAGAGGAATTGAAAAAAGTCGCACAACAAAGGGGAGCGTAGAACTTTTTAAACCGTTCGCTCTATACGTTGATTGTTCACGTTTTCAAGAGTTTTTATTTTACACACACACTTCTCTGTGAAAAACAGTTAACGTCGCTTCATCATAAAGAGATAGATTGCGTTTGCCATGGAAACTTCAAAATATTTAGAATATCAAGGTGCTCTTTATTCCAAATGTTATAATTTTTTAAATCCGTTAATAATCATTATTAATTATAATATCTTAAAACTTGGATAAAATAGCAACAAACTAATACCTACGTTCTTTTTTTAAATCTATTGTTTTAAAGTATTGCGCAAACTTAATCTTAGCTTATATGAGATAAAGTATTTAAAAAATGTCTTTTTATCAAATTGATTATGATTATATTCAGGATTATGTTAGACAAATTAAATAATATGAGTTAATAACAATAATAATTTTTATTTAGAAATTTCTGGCGCAACTAATTGCAATTTTTGTAACAAATAGATTTCGAATGGGCAGTAAAATTAAATCGATATTGTCTAGAAATAGCAGGGCTTTGGCCTAAATCTGATTTAACTGCATGGAATAAAGTTATGTGTAATTTACGTACGCTTCTGGTTTTCTTTAGTATACTTTTTGGTCTTTTAATACCTATGACACATTCACTGATAAAAATTAGTGGAGACATCATATTAATAATAGACAATCTACAGTTTACTTTACCAATCATTTCCACTATGTTAAAAATTGCAATTTTTTGGTGGAAAAAAGAAGGTAGATATAACTACAAATTTAAATGTAAAATAATTGCCTTATATAAAGATAACTATAAAGATATAAAGATAATACTATATTTAAGTTTTAATTGTCCTACATTTTGAATTTTTTAAAGTAAACTTTGAAAGTTAGTTATTTATATTTTATAGGAGGCACAAATAATACCGTTTTCATAAAATACGAGGGTCGGTAATATAAACAATTTTTTTTCTCAGAAAATTTAATTCCTACAAACTATGGTTATTAACAAACATTTAGTTATTTTTTTACAAAGTTACCGTTAAGAAAAGTGTTTGTGAAACCTTCAAAAGTCGTAGCAATGTTTTATAAATTTTAATTTTAAATTATATTTGCTATTAAGTTTGTAATAAAATGTTAAGGTTTTTATTATTATTGTATCATAAAAACTATATTATAAGACTAAATAACTAAACTTTTATCATCTGTAATATATTTTTTTACTTTCTTGAAGCTGTTATATCTATAATGGATATGATCGCGAACGATTGGAGAACACCGAAAACTCCATGGGAAAAAATGAAGATGATTACACGAGCACAGACTGCTCGTACAATTACTAAGTTTGCATATTGCTTAGTGGGAGGAAATTCCTTTGCTTTGATTCTTATGCCTGTTTGTAATCTTTCAGTGAGATATATAACAAATATTACTGATCCAGGCAGACTATTACCACTACAAACGCATTACATCTATGATACAACTAAAAGTCCACATTATGAGTTAACATTTATTTCTCAAAGTATATGTTTGTTTTTATGCATGATACATTACATAGGTATTGATAGTTTTTTTAGTTTCTTGGTACTTCATATCTGTGGTCAATTGGACATACTAAGAAATCGCATTCTACATTTGGAAATAATAAATTATGCTTACAATTTGAAAATGTGTGTGACGGATCATACGCGACTACTCAGGTATCGTATTTCTAATCTTATATTTCATAAATATATTTTGATCTTATATAAGTATAGAAGTAAAAATATATAGTAAAAAATTTTAAAAAAATTTTTATATATTATAAATATTAACATATGATTCATCTCTTTATAGAAGTATCGTTCTCGTAGAACATATATTTAATATTATGATGCTTGCATTATTTTTATACTTTGGTATTCTTTTTTCCTTTTATGGATTTCTTATTTTAAATGTAAGTTTATAAAAGCTTTTAATGTACAACTTAATAATTTATTTACAGTGCTTTGTGTGTCACATAATTTCGACACATATAAAGATAATATTATTTACACGAATCGAGTGTCCTATATTATTATTTGATTCCTTGATTTTGAATTAATGTAATCTAAAAATTTAATTTAAAAGATGTGACTTTACTGCAAGATATTGAAGAGATGCATCTAAAAAATAAAAGTTTTTTTAACGATAATATAAGATACGACTTAAATTTAGTTAAACTTGATAATAAAAATAGTAACTATATATATACAATACTCTACATACATTGATATATCTGTATTGATACTTCAACTTTGTAATAGTTATTAATTATATTCTATATTTTTGTATTTCATAATGGAACGACTAGCTTTCGGAGGGTGGAAATGACTTATCGATTTTTCGTGCGGCATATCTCATATGTATTATAATCAATTTCGTTTGTCACTCGTGCGTTTATTGCGCTGTCGGTGAAATTTTATTATCGCAAGTAAATTAGCAACTCCTTAATTCTTATAGTAATTTTTTCTGCCTTTTTATACAATTAGTATTTTAACTGTTTAAAATAAGGTACAATTATACAAATTCAGTTTTATCAACTAAAATTTACATAAATAAAAGCTATATAAAACTTTATAAATATATCAGTTAAAATTGATTATCTACATGTATTATTGTTAAAATATATATTATTATTATTATTTATTATTTTATATCGAACTATTTATATATAAATGTGTTTGTGTGAGTGTGTGAGTGAGTGTGTGTGAGTGTGTGTGTGTGTGTGTATTGCACAAAACACGTATAAATTTTATTTGTGTACTCATATTCTATCCAAAGTTTTTAATTAAATTTTTAATATATTTAAGTGCAAACATATCCATTATGCTGTATATTCTAATAAATGGTATAATCTGGAACCACGAAATTCACGGAATATGATTCTTTTAATGGTCAGAACAAATGAACCTGTTTATCTTACTGCCGGTAGACTGTTTCCTTTAACAATGTCTACATTTTGCAACGTAGGTTATTAAAAATTTTAGCTATAATTTTTATATAGGTGATATGTTATTATATACTACATATACGTATATTGCAACACGTATAGTTATGTATAATATATAAAATAGTTATTATTTTTTTACATTTTCTTGAATGGTAATTATATATCTCATTATATTTTACTCAAGTATTTATATTTTTCCAGCTATTAAAAACATCTGCTAGTTATATTTCTGTTTTACTTACAACAAAACAATAACTTTAAAACTATGATAAATTTACGTTAGTTAACATTATAAAAATTATATCACTATTCCAACTTTATTTAAAATTACAAACGCAAGATAAATATCAAAGTTTATTAAATAAAACTTAGGAAACATTAAAACTACTCCTAATATAAAAAAAAACTAATATGAAAAAAGGCTACATGTTTCACTATTATTAAGAAATAAATGTACATAGTTTATACATATGTATATTTTTACTGGATTTAAAATATGTAAGTAATTATTGAAAACAAGTGATAGAAGTGAGAAATTGTAAAAGTTCAACCGTTATTATATAGAAATAGATAAAATTACTTCCTTTTAATAAAGGTTATTGTATTTATCCATATGAATAAAATTGTATGCACAGTTTTTGGAAGCATATATATATATGAAGTAAATGAAATCTTTATTGTACCAATGACACAATTTTATTGTTGCTAGCTATAGGAAGGAAGCTATTAAAAGTTCGAGCACCATCCAATTTTTTGCAGAATTCAATATATACGTCTAATCGACTATAAGTGCGTGGGACCATGAGGGATATACATCATGCCATATATTCGCTCCAAAGGACAATAGCAAGACCATCCACCTGTTGTTATCCACGTTTTTGTGCACGCACACTTTTTTTATCACTTCGCATCAAGGGGCGTAATCTTGCAACAAGGGATGCTCGGAATATTAAAGGAGTTTATGGTAAGTTATCATTGTACAATGTAAAAAATTTTTATTGCGTGCATACGCGTTGTCTGAGAGGGTAACGTTGACCTATGACAGAGAGACGGAAGGTAGTCTCTGGGCAGCATTCAACATGAATACTTCGAGAAACTCGGAATACGGAGGTGCTCGAGAATCATTCTCGTTGAAGTCGCGACAATAGTCGTGATGAAGATCAATTTTAGTTTATAACGTCATTGTATGACAAGTGCATTCTTGGGACAGTTAACATTGTGCAACGCTGAAAATCAACATTTTTTTGTTCAGTTTTAGAATATGTGAACTAAAGTGATTTGTGCGGATAAAAAAGTAACAGAGGAGAAAGGGATGGCTTTAAAACAATTATGCGAGTGTCATTCTATAATCGCGCACTCATATACACAATTTAATTTGAATTATTGCTGTATTAAATATTACAAACTTCCTTTACAATTAAGAACAATTTAATTTATCAAATTTTTTTAATAAGTAGATTTTGAATGGACAGTGACATTAAATCATTTCAGTCTAGAATTGATTAGACTTTGAATAAGAAAAGTTGGCGAAAAAGGCCATTGCGTACTGTTTGTTTTCTTTTCTATATTAATCATTGTGTACAATTTTATCATTGCATTCATTAATAAAAATTCGTACAAATATCTTGTTGCTCATAGACTTACAATTTTCTCGATCAGTAATGGCTACTATACTCACAATTTTTTGGTAGAAAACAAAATATAATTGTATAAATTAAACATAAAATATTAAGTGCTACTGTTTAAACGGAACAACCAAACATTATAAAAATTCCTGTTGCTTATTAATATCGTTATATGTATCATACACAATTGTCAGAATTGTATGCACGAATTGTAGAATGCAAAATTATTTTTATTAATTGTTTGTGTCGGCGAAAAGCGCAAGAATTCAACAAGTAGGTGCAACCCTTGCCTTGCTATTTCATCCTTATTAAGGAAAGAGAAGGGTTCAACTTTTTTTCCCAACAGAATTGCGAAAAACTTTAACATCAAAACTTTGACAATACGGCAGTTCCCATCTTTTTGAAATATTAAAAATTGCGCCTATAGATAGACTCGACTATAATTGCGACGTTTTTTACACGAGCATGCGTGACAGCACTCGTCTCACATCAGTCTCATCCAAGCAGCGGAACAGTTCGGAGTCTTATGGCCTGCGATATGAATACTAATAAACTCTCGGGATACGCAGGTGCTTGTACAAATGCGACACAATATTTGCATGCAACATAGTTTCTTACATGTCTCATAAACATACAGCACAAAAATATTAATTCGTAGATTCTATTTTTTTTATTGCTGTTACGTTAAAATCCTAAATAAGATGAATGTTAGCAAAACGAAAAATAATTTTGTGAATTTTTTCGCATTTGCAACTACGATTGTAAATTAAGAAGATGCTAAATTTTGAGTAAATTCTTATCATAATTTATCTTCTTTTAAATTAGCTTGGTTTGTTTTCAGATTTTGAGTGGGCGGTTCAACTAAATCGTTTCAGCTTGAAAATAATCGGTCTTTGGCCGGAAGAAACTGGCAGCTCACAAGAGAAGCTGTTTTCAAATTTACGATTTTTATGCGTCATCATCGTCATCACTTGCGTCTGTACTACTCCTTCGTTATATTTGCTACTGAAAGTTTGGGGTGACATGATGGCAATGATAGACAATATTTTATTCACTTTACCTTTATTGTCGCTCTCCATGAAACTATTCATTATGTGGTGGAAGAAAGAAAGTAAGTAAATAATGAAATGGATGAAACACTAGTATGCACGACAATTACATCTTATTTTGTAGTTTAAATTTCCACAATAGATTTTTTACATTAAAAAAGAATTAAAATTTTTACATTTTAAATCGTTTTGAATGTTAAAGTTTTTGTAATATACACCATCTCATCTATTTTAAAATAAAATTTTATAACGCGAATATTTTCAACATTTTCAAATGTTTATTATAACACCGTTTGTTAAGGAATACGTCTGCATATTTTTATATTACAATATATCTCTATTAAATTTTTTGTTTGAATATTTTTGATCATGTTATTATAATTTCCATTTATCGCATAAATAACCAATTCTTTTCTCAAGCATTGTCGTCATTAATGACCATGATCGTTCATGACTGGGTCAAATCAAAATCCCGCGACGAGCGAGACATTATGATGCGTCGTGCTCAAAACGCTCGTCTAATTATCACGTTCAGCTATATCATAACGGGATTATCAGTAACAGTTTTGATAGTTACTTCCATCTTTGGGTATACCGTAAGACATGTAACAAACGTCACCAATGCTAGCAGGCCATTACCACTACAAGCATATTATATCTATGATACATCCGTCAGCCCGCAGTTTGAACTTACATTTTTTATTCAATGCATCGCCCTATTGATGATTGGGCTTTCTTACCCGGGTACTGATAATTTCCTCGGACTTCTCATCTTTCATATTTGTGGCCAATTGGAAAATTTAACAAACCGCTTGTATCGGATGCGCAAATCCACGAACTTCATCGCGGCTCTGAGAAACAATGTCATGGATCATATACGGCTTCTCAGGTTTTGTACTCACAATAAGCCTTGCGCAGTTAGCGAATTTGTATATTGACACATTTCGTTAATCATATTAGTTACACATATGACAAATCCAGCAGTGCGTTGCGCGATAAATGTATCACACAACCGGTTTTTTTGATAAGTCATCAAGACTTGAATTTATGCGAATATGTTATCTTGACAATCTTTCCTAATTTGCGTTTTCCTTGAAACAAAAACATTAAATTTCTTGCGTTTTATGTAATACAAATACGTCATTTATATTCACAGTTTAAAATTGATCACGCATTATATTTAATTTTGAAATAAATTGCATTAATCCTATTGCACAATAATGTTATCAAAAAATTTTTTACAAATGACACATGTGCCTTTGTATTTTTACTTTAAAATTGATTAAATTTTAACAAAAATTAATTTTCTTATTCTACTTTTATTAAATATTTTTATACATTAGTTCTATATTACTATACACATCGAATTTTACAGTGGCATGCATATGTATATTTAACGTATCAAATTATTTCGTATTTTTGTCAGTGAAATTATTGAATTTTATAATGGTCTTTTTCGCGCTTTGCAATCATTACAAACTAAATTTTCTTATAAATCTCAAGAACCATAAATGATAATTATATTATTTAGACAATTTGAAACAATTTGAAACAATTATTTAGTATAGAATTACGTTGTGTGTATATGTGATAACAATTAACAATTTTCTTTTAGATCTGTTGCAATGATCGAAGATACCTTCACATTAACGCTGTTACAATTATTTCTTTATTTCGGTATTATGTTTTGTACTTACGGATTTCTTGTCGTTACAGTAAGTTAAGCCACATTTTTCAAAAATTATTTATTTAATTAATCTTTTGAGGAATGTCGTACACGGTCTATAATCATTTTTTTTCTCATATACTAGGTGTACTTAAATATATAAAAACTTTTGTATATTAATAATTAAATTTTAATTTATTTTATTTAATATATTACAAATGTGCATTAATTAGGTAATCTTCGAAGAGAAAAATGTGTCTCTCAAAAGAGCAATATTTCTTATCTCAGTAATTTGTACTGCATTTACTAATATGTGTCTCTATTGTGCTGCTGGCGAATTACTAGTAATAAAGGTAAGTCTTTTGTTTAATAAATACATATATGATTACATGAGTTAATCATTTATTAATTTTTTTTTTTTCATTGTACACTCAACTGATGAAGAGAACTATTTTTCTTTAAGTCTCAAAATGTCATAAAAAATTACAATTAATGCAAATACACATTTGTACTTGAGTGCAAAAATTTCTAAAAATACATACTTATTACATTATTTTAATGTATTTTTACATTAAGTTTGACATTTATTTTATTAAGTACGAAAAGATTTACAACGCGGTGTACGAATGCAAATGGTATACTTTGGAAACAGCGGAAGCAAAGAGTCTAATTTTTTTACTGCTTCGCACAAACAAACCACTCTACATTACAGCTGGGAAAATCTTACCTATGACGATGTCTACATTCTGCAGTGTAAGATAGCAATTTATGTTATAATTTTAAATGTAAATTTTATTTGAGTACAAAAATTTCAATGTCTAAAAAAATTTTTTTTTAATTTTTTCCTATTTGTTTTTTCTTTCTCTCATCTTCATCATTATCTATTAATATTTTAATATATTATTATTTTATATTATGTGTGTGTATAATTTTATTTACTAATTCGTATATTTGTGTATATTTTTAGATATTAAAAACGTCGGGTGGGTATATATCAGTTTTACTCGCAAATCGGAATTAAGATAAATCTAATGTCAAAAGTGGCAAAGATTAGAGCAAAAAATATTTTTCAATGAAATGTGGAATATAGTCTTATTATTAGCTGTTTTATATTAAAAAAACAAAAAACATGTAAGAATATTTGACAAATAAAAAATAATGTAGCATTAACCTTTGTTGAAAACGTCTGCAGTGCTATTTTTCGTGTATTACATGCAAACTTGAATTTTAATTAACTTTTTATAAATTCAGAATTTTTAAGAAATTTTAGTATTTTATATACAGGGTGATTCAAAATAACCTGATGTTCTTGCAATGCCATATTCTTGAGCGAATTCTGAGACGATTTTTTTTTTTACAAAATTTTGTCCGAAGCTTAATTTTCGAGTTATAATTGAAAATAGGTACATAGCAGCTTACGAGTTCGGTGCAACGGGCAGGCAAGGACGCGCAACATATAATGAGACTGTCAAGTGTTTACTATCGTCTCATGACGCATTGCATCGTCCCTGCCTATCCGTTGTATCGGACTCGTAAGTAGCAAATTATTTTCAATTGTAACTCAAAAACTAAGCTTTAAACAAAATTTTGTAAAAGGAAAAATCGTCTCAGAATTCACTCAAGAATATGGCATTGCAAGGACATCAAGTTATTTTGAATTACCCTGTATATATAAGAAACTACTTCTTACTAGAAAATGCATTGCCTAAATAATTTACGATTTTAAAGAAATAAAATTTTTAATATTCTCACGAAAGAAGATCATCTATCATGAATCATGCAGAAATTGGTAAAAAATGTCACATTATCACCTGTATTTTGAATGACGTACATGTTTTCCCTTGCCAAATTATATAAGCAATTAATCATTAATTACAACTGCGTAAACATTCAATCGTATATAAAAACAGTAATGAAAGCGTAGTGTTGAATTTTCGAAATTCTGTTGAAGCCACGTTTTCGTGCGGGATGCTCGCAATGTTGCAACTCGCGTGGATTTCCATTTTCATCGCCATTAGTGGTATGTAATTTATTAGTTATATCGTTTTTAAACATTATGATTACATTAAACGTACAGTGCCGCACATTGGTTATTCGTGTTCGTGCATTTTAATTTTTTATATTTTACTAACATTATATATACATATATATATTTGATGTTTTAATTTTATAAACACGTAATAATTTTATTTAAATTTTAAAATAAATATGTAAATTTTTTTAGAGTTTTTTTGCACTTTAAGGTTATTAAAAATTGGTCCACAATTTAAATGTTAAAAAAAGTGTCATTTTTTAATTTTTGGACAAAATAAATTTCCAAAAGTTAACTAATTGTGTTTTAAAAAGATAATAAATATTAATGTATGTATCAATTTATTAGGTATCAATGCTAAGATAGCGCAAAATGATTGTGATGTTGAGCAGCTATCCATTGTATCAATTAGAAAGAATGGTAGACACGTTTGTTCTGGCGCTATAATTGATGAGTATCACGTTGTCACATCGGACCGATGTGTCCCATCATTTCCACATGTCTGGAACGTTATGAATGATATAGCTGTGGTTAGCGGCACGTGCACTCTCAAACCCAGCGGTATTCGTATTTTAACCAAAGAAATGTTCTCACAAAATCACTATCTCAATCCGACTGAAAATCCCTTTGTGAGCGGCCTTGGTGTGCTTAGGGTATGTTTATATTATAATTGATTTTCACCAACACATTACCTTTTATTTTAGCATATGAATTATTTCAATGCTACAAATGCTTAACTCAAAATTTTTAATAGTTAAATAAATATGAAAAAAAGTATTTATATTTTATTTAAGTAAAGTATTAGAAATTATTATTTGAGCACCAATGCAATGCTTAATTATTTGTATAAAATATTAAAAATTACAAAAATTTCCTGATAGAAACCTATTTCGACAAACTTGTTTTTGCAATATTGAAAGCAATCAAACAATAAACAAGTTTTTTGCAGCTCTTTCGACCACTTCATTTCGGAGAGAAAGTGCAGCCGATTCCACTGTCTGAAACGGAAGTACCGTTGGATGCAAAACTACAAATGGTTGGATGGATGATGGCTGATCGTGAAGGAAAGAAAACTGCCAATTTGAAGAGCGTCACGTTAAAAACGATAGATTCTAAAAAATGCCAGTCGTTCCACAAGAAAACTCTCACTGACTCGGAATTCTGCACTCAACCGGAGTCCGAAAGCGATTTTTGCAAGGTAAGCGATTATGACTATATTAAAAATAGAATTGAAAATTTTAAGACATCTTCAAACAAATATTTCATCGGAAGATTTTTACTAATTAAATTAAAATTTTTTTTGTTAATTAAATTTACATTAATAGCAATTAATTTAGAATAAAAAGTTTAAAACATAAAATAAAAATAATCTTAATCGTCGAAAATATGTGATAATAAATTTAAAATAAAATAAGAGCGTCATAATATTGAATGTTATTAATATTAATATTATGACTATTATTTAGGGTGACAGAGGCAGCCCTCTGATATACGAAGGCAAACTTGTCGGTGTATCTACTTATGGTGTTTCATGCGATGCCAATCCAATTCCGGATGTCCATCCTATTATAAGTAAAAACCTCGAATATCTTTACAACATTACAAGAACGTAAAGATTCAGAAGTTTTATTTACGCTATTGTTAATTTGCATTTTGAATACAGTGTATAAACATGACTGATATTCGCAAACAATATTAAAAAATATTATATATTATATTACGTATTAACAACAGACAAATCCACAAAATAATATGTGCACATTGTGCAATAGTAATTTGTAATGCTACGATTAAAATTATGTACACGTAAAGCACAATTCGGACTGATATTTTTTGAAGTCAGTTCACCCTCTATGGAAGAATATGCTATAGCCATCTCAGGTAAGAAAGGTAATGTGTTGATAATTATTGCATGTCCATAGCTAACTACCTGTCTATAGTCATACGTGCAGATGCGTAATTTCACTGGAACATTGCGAAAAAGAGAACTGTTTAGAAGTTACGAACATTAACGTGAAAAATTTTTACGCCTCTCGGAGCGCTACGTAGGTAAAGGAGTAAAGGAGTGAATTAATGATGTGGCACGATAGACTTGAGATAGCTCGAAAGTTTTACCCTTTTTTGAAAAAAAAAAAACCAGTTTGCACAGGTCATAAATAAATTTAAACTATTAAAATAACTAGACAATTATTGGCACAATAAATTAAAATTTAACTTTTTTATTTCGTTTTTTTAATCACTTTATTTTACTTGCTTAAGTATAACTCTTTTTAACACAATTTATGATTTTTTGGAGAAGAAAAGAGCCGTTGTGATAAGACAAGTGCGAACTGCACGTGCAATCACAATATACGGGTATTTTATGATATTTATCTCAATTGTAATCTGTGTGATTTTTTGCCATTTCGGCAAAATATTTGACAAATATAACCGATCCAGGCAAACCAATGCCACCACAAACACATTATATCTACGACACAAATAAAAGTCCATTTTACGAGATAACATTTTCCCTACAGGCTATCAGTATATCAGTCGAAAAATTTTATTTTATTCCCAAATTAATTAAAAATAAATGTGAAAAAGAAACAAATTTTCCCCAGTAAAATATTCCTATATCGCTTCCATATTTCTGATTCATATTTTTCAACATGTTGCAAAACAAAATTAGTTATAAATACTTATAAAATAAAATAAATTAATTAATGTAAAATTAACGTACAAAAATTTATTATAACGTTTATTATAAAATTCTGAAAAAATATAATCATTTTTGACGTATAGACTTTCACAGTTGTTACCTGTTGATCACACATTTACTGTCAAACGAGTAATATTGTTCGAAGTTTCATTTACTAAAACTGTTCTAACTTTAGTCGAACAGAGGGGAATAAAAAAAACTTTTGAAATTTCGAACCATCATTTGAAAACACTTTCAAGCTGCTTATAGTTTTGCGATCCGTAGTTTCAGTGAAGTAGCGAATCAATAATACAGCACATCAGGGTTGGCTTTAGAAATTTTTAAGTTTGACACAACTTAAAAGAATTAATTTTCTTTCAAAAATTTGTGCTGTGTAAAAACAAATAAATTTACATAAAGAAAATAATTAGTTTTAACACTAGTATTAAAATAATTAATTGTTGCGCAAACGTGATCCGTTTCTTCTTAACATCATTTTTATTTAATTATTTTTTTTACGATTAAGTAATTTTATTATATTCACACACATAGCGATCATTTACATATGAGTTATTATAATTGAAATTTTGATTATATTCAATCATATGTCGGATGAAAAAAAAATGTTTGAGTGCTGGCTGCGGCCCTACATCGTACCGTGCATATTCTTCATTTTTCGAAAAATTAGTTTTTCAAGTGAAGGGTAATTTGCTTGTAAACCGAGCCGTAAACACTAGCTACTGCAATGTTCTCGTTATGGACACTGCATTATTAATATGTAGCGCCCACACCTGTAAAACGGCATAAGACGTTTCGTCACGCAACGGTATATCACCCTAACCGAGGTAAGAGGGAAAAAGAACAAATGAAAAAGGGAAACTCAGTCTCTTCACAGACATCGGCATGGATGCTTCGAAGCAGGCATATACAGGTGGTTTTTCTTTCTCGATTGACTTAACAAGATACAAGTCTATAGTGCTGTTTGCAACCGTATAGTGAACAGTTCTGATTAATTTTTTATAGTGCAAAATGGCGGCAAATACATACAGAAATATTGCAAAAATATGACCATATTTTCAAAAATTTTTACCACATCTTTCTCTTCAGAAATTGCAAATGAGTTAAAAAATAATTATGCTAATTATTACACATTAATGGAAATTTTGTGTTATACCTTTTTTTATGATGCTCTAAACATCTTTTCTCATTTAAAAAAATAAAAAATATATTACACAAATTTATTTACTGCAAATGTGGATAAGAGGACAAAAATATATATATATATTTACATATTCTCAATGGAGATAAATATATATAAGAAACTACTTACAAAAATTTAATAGTAGTGCTGTTGAACCAGGTTACTTAATTTTCGTCAAATATTTAATCATATTGATCTAAATGTAGACTATAAATGGGCTATCAAATTAAATCGGCTCAGCTTGACATTGATGGGCGTTTGGCCAGAAAACAATATTAAAACAAAGCAAAAATTATTATTGGACATGCGTGTAATCATTATGATAAATTTATCAGTCTGGACCTGCATCGTACCATCTATACATTCTTTAGTCAATGTTTGGGGTGATATAATGCTAATGATTGATAACTTGCAATATACTTTGTCGATATTTATGGCAGTAACAAAACTTTCTATTATGTGGAAAAAGAAGGAAGGTAATGTGTATGATAATTATTGTGAATTATACAATATTTTAAAAAATAGTTTCAAAATTTTTCAAACTATTCAAGTAAACACATAATGTACATAGTCCTCATTGCAGAAATTTTACCGCTTTTGAACATGATTAAGAACGATTGGTTGAAACCAAAGACGGACAAAGAGAGAAACGTTATGATCAAACGAGCTCAGATTTCACGTACACTCGCGATATTTGGATTTTTCGTAATGATAATATCTTTCTCCTTGGCTGTGGTTCTTCCTATTTTTGGCATTTCAATGAGATACGTAACAAATAGAACAGATCCGGACAAATTGTTGCCGTTACAAACGTATTATGTGTACGATCGAGACAAGAGTCCATTTTACGAAATCACTTATATTCTGCAGGGTATCGGCTTGTTCGTGAGTGCAACTATATACACTAGTACAGATAGTTTACTAAGTTTACTGGTTATTCATATATGTGGTCAGCTGGAAAATTTAAAGGCATATATTATAGACCTTGACAATTTTGGAAAATTCAAAGGTGCACTGTCACACGTTGTGAAACATCATATGCGTCTCATCAGGTTGATTATTATATTCTCCATTTTGCATTCATAGATATAATAAAAAATAAAAATAATTATTTTAACTTTGCAATTAATATTATGTTCACAACTTTTTCTTACAGATCTATTAATAGTATTGATAATATATTTACCCTAATGTTATTCGGGGCATTTATTTATTTTGGTATACTGTTCGCCTTTTACGGCTTTTTATTCGGTACTGTAAGTATTTTTTTCTCGATTTAATTCATTTATTATTTTGTCAGCAAGTATTTACTTTGATTATCAGAACAAATTTTTTTAATATAAGATTCTACACTTGAGAGTCACATATTCTTTTAAATCAAATTTTATGTTTAACATTCACATATTTTTATAAAAAAATTTTTTTAAAGAAAATTGCTTTGCATTTTTGAAAACAACTTAAAATAATTGACAAATATAGTTTAATCTTTATATTCAAGTATCAAGAACAACTTTCTTAAGAAACAGAGTTCTCGTCTAATTATCATGTACACTGTTCTTTGTATAGAATCTAAAAATTAAATGTGTAATTATGTATAACTTTTTTTACTTATGTCTTCGTTTAGATCTTGACTGAAGATCGCGATCTCTCTGTGCCACGTTTGACTTTTTTCATTATGGTATTTGTCAATACGTTTGCACATACATGCTTCTACTGCGCCGTAGGAGAAATTTTAATTGCACAAGTATACGTTTTCTTATTATCTATTAACTTAACATATAAATTAAATTAAACTGACAGTTAAATAAGTATCAAAATGTTATTTAAAATTCTTGTTCTAAAATTTATTCAACATGCAATTTAATTACATATGACATTTATCAAGTGCGAAGGAGTTTACAAAGCCATATGCAAATACGAGTGGTACATGTTGGAGCCGAAAGAAGCTAAAAATTTATTGATCATAATGATTCGAGCCCAGAAACCTCTGTATCTCACCGCGGGAAAAATATTCCCTATGACAATGGCTATGTTTTGTAATGTAAGACGGCTATAATGTATAATATACAGGGTGTCTGGCAATAATCGCCCCACCGGTCATGTACAGGTAGAGGAGGTCAAATCGAGTAGAAAAGTCCTTTACCATTTTTTGATTTTTGTAATAAGTACTAAGTAATTAACGAAAAAAGATTGGTGAATCCGTGCAAGTAAAGCGCGCGCAGCGAGAAGGACATCCCACTGCTATGCGATCACTAGGCGCGCGATGAAGCGTTGGGAGGAGCGCTCTACAAATGACAATGGCAACATACGAGCGGCGCGTAACGCTAGATTCTTG